TCACAAATCATACAACCATTCTTATCTTCAAGGATACAATGAAAGCATTAAAATAGTATAGTTATATTTAAAGCTAAAAGACTACAAAAACAAGCAATGGGGTTACGAGGAAGTGATAAGGCACATAACTATCTTTAGAAATTGTATGGGCATGTCATTGGGAAGAAATATGTCATTCTTGACAAGAATGTCATTGGGAAGAAATATGTCATTCTTGACAAGAACACTGAACACAGTTCCTATCACAGATGCACCCACTCTCATATGCAGGTATAACTTCCATATACTCAGGTCCACTATCAAATTCAGACCCCATCAGTGCTACTATTAATCCTTGCTTTCCTCAAAGTTATTCAGAGGCAGCCAATAGCACACTTAACTGCATTACAAGCAGAGTTAATGTGTTATGAAACCACCTAAAACTTGTCAGCTATAAAGTTGGGAGAGAACATTGTAATCCAAAACAACTCTAGATTTGTTTAGGGATTCTCTCCTAGTCAATCCTATTGAGGGAGCACAATGACCCGGTCAGAAATGAGGCAGATGCTCAGCAAACAGTTGCTGCTGTAGATCACCTAAAAAACCCAGCTTCCCATTACAGAATAAACAACCAGAATTCTGGCAACCTGACTGCAGGAATCAATCAAGCCCCTCCTCCATTCTATTCTGCTCCTGTCAAAGGGCTTGCAGGTACTCATCCTGCAAATATTGACCATCAGCAGTGACTCTAAACGTCAGCAAGGCCTCTTTTGCCTGAGCTGTGCTCCCAAGTATACACAAGCAGCATTCCAAACATTCTCACCCAGTTTTGTGTGCCTGCCATAGAAGATGGAGGGAGGGATCTGGTCTGGTGTCTGTGGCCCTATTTCTTGGATCTGCCTTTCCTGGCTGTGTGTTCTAGAAGCCATGGATATACCCTGAATTGCTTGCACGTGTTCTTCTGCCCTTCCCCCTTCTTTTCCCTTCCACCCTTTGGCGTTGGTTGCAGCTGGATGACTCCTTCTTGCTTCCCTCCCTTACAGAGGGCTTCTCCTTACAAGGAGGGTAATAGTGTTATTCTCCTGTGGACCATATTCCATAGCCAGGGTGCTAATAGAGCCACCAAGATGCTCTATTACGAATCCAGTTCTCCTGTGTGAT